CGGGAAGTCTCTTGGGCCATCTTGGGCGGACTGGGAGGCCCGGGGGCCGCCCGAGGAGCGTCCCAGGAAGCCCTCCTAGGCCCTCTTAGCGCTGTCCTCAGGCGTCCTGGGGCGTCCTTGGGCGCCTCCTGGGGCTGTCTGACAACTCGGACAGCCAAGGGATGAGATATCCTAAAAATGTACGTTTTACGAAGGGAATGGGGCCATTTTGGTTTCCCGGGGCGCTCTTGGGGGGCCTCTTGGAGGCCTCTTGGGGCGGTTTGATGGCCTCTTGTCCCTTCTGGAAGCGATCTTTGGCGGTCTTGAAGCGATCCTGGGCTTCTCTCGGCGCTCTTGGAGCCTTCTTTGGCGGACTGGGAGGCCCGGGGGCCGCCCGAGGAGCGTCCCGGGAGGCCTTCCTGGGCTGTCTTCGGGCTATCCTAGGGCGCCTCGTGGGGCTTTCTGACCGCTCCGACAGCCAAGGGAGCTGATATCTTAAAAATGTACGTTTTACGAAGGGAATGGGGCCATTTTGGTCTCCCGGGGCGCTCTTGGGGGGCCTCTTGGAGGCCTCTTGGCGCGGTTTGATGGCCTCTTGGCCCTTCTGGAAGCGATCTTTTGCGGTCTTGAAGCGATCCTGGGGTTCTCTCGGCGCTCTTGAAGCCTTCTTGGGCGGACTGGGCAGCCCGGGGGCCGCCGGAGGAGCGTCCCGGGAGGCCCTCCTGGGCCGTTGGGCCCCTTCTTGGAGCCGTGTTGGGACTCTCTTGGGCCGTCTTCGAGGCCTCTTAAGCGGTCCCGGGGCGCTCTTGGGCCGTCTTGGGGCCGTCTTGGTGGCCTCTTGGGCCGTCTTGGGGCGATCTTGGGTGCCTCTTGGCCGTCTTGGAGCGCCAGGGAGCCCAAAAGGAGAGAAAGCCAAAAACATCGAAAAACACAATGGAAAATCAACGATTCGAGCCTCTTGGGGCCCTCTTGGAGAGCCTCTTGGAGGCCTCTTGGGGCGTCTTGGAGGCCCCTTGGGCCGTCTTGGGACCATCTTGGGCGTCTTGGAGCGATCTGGGACCGCCTCGGGGCCCTCTTGGACCATCCTGGGGGCCTCCTGGGGCCGTCTTGGAGGCCTCTTGGGTCGTCTGGAGGCTCCTTGGAGGCTCCTTGGAGGCCCCGGGGAGGGGGTATTAAAAAGCGTTCCCCGATGGTTGCGGAGTGGGCGGCCCCGCCGGGGGGGGGGGGCCTATTTGTTTATATTATATATGAGCACATTGACATAACATACACACATATATACATATATATATATATATATGTATATCGGAGGTGAGGGGGTGATATCGAAGTGGAACGGAGAGCCCCCCTACCGGGAAATCGATTTCGGTTTCGTGTTCGTGCGTGCCGTGCGGGCGAGGCGAAGCTGTGTGGGCGGGCGAGAGAAAGTTTCCTGTGGCTGGGGCGCGGCCGGACCAAATGATTCCCTTCCGGGCGGCCGGGGCCCCGCGGTGTCCCGCCGGTGTCCCGCTGGTGTCCCGTGTGGCTGAGGCGCGGCCGGACCAAATGATTCCCTTCCGGGCGGCCAGGGCCCCGCGGTGTCCCGCCGGTGTCCCGCTGGTGTCCCGTCGGTGTCCCGATTATGGTGATGATATTGATGATGATGATGATGATGACGATGTTGATGTTTTGTTTTGATGATCGATAGTGATATCGGTAGTGATATCGATTGTGAAATCGAACGTGAGATCGAATGTCAGAGCGCTTGTGAGATCGATTGTTAGATCGATTGTGATACCGAATGTGAGATCGATAATGAGATCGGTAGTGAGATCGGTTGTGAGACCGAATGGGATATCGATTGTGAGATCGATTGTGATATCGATAGTGAGATCGATAGTGGGACCGAATGTGAGATCGATTGTGAGATCGATAGTCAGATCGATCGGTTGAGTTAGTAGTGAGATCACTATCGGTAATGACTTCGGTCGTGATTTCGATAGTGAGATCGATGATGAGACCGAATGTGAAATCGATTGTGAGTTCGGTTGTGATATCGATGGTGAGATCGATAATGGGATCGAAAGTGAATTCGATAGAGAGATCGATAGTGAGGCCGAATGCGAAATCGATTGTGAGATCGATTGTGATATCGATAGTGAGATCGATAGTGAGACCGAATGTGAGATCGATAATGAGATCGATCGTGATTTTGATAGTGAGATCGATAGTCAGATCGAATGCGAGATCGATTGTGATATCGATTGTGAGATCAATAGCGAGACCGAATGTGAGATCGATTGTGGGATCGATTGTGAGATTGATTGTGAGATCGATAGTCAGATCAATTGTGAGCTCTATCGATTGAGATCGATTGTGAGATCGGTAGTGAGTTCGATCGTGAGATCAATCGAGTGCGACGTTGGTCCCTCCCCCACCCCTTTACTTCCTTATCACCCGAAGGGTGGTCTATGCGGTATATATATACACATATGCATCGATATATCCATCCATCCATCCATACACACATACATGCATCCAAACATAAACCGACACATCCGCAATACCTGCATACGCGCGCACATCCATACGCACATACATACCCACAGGCAGACATGCAATTATACTTACGTGCATACATACAAGCGTACGCACATACCTCCAACCGTACATACATACTCACATACACACCGACCGACCTACCTACCTACCTACCTACCTGCATACATACATACATACACATACACACGCGCACACGCTACTTACAGTCGTACATACATACATACATACATACATACATACGAAAGAGCGCTTTCTGTGGTCGCTTGGAGGGGTGGTGGTGGAACTGGAACCCCTCTTCCCCTGGATGGAGGGGGGGGGCTCGAACGCCCCCCCCACTCTCCCTCCCGTGATGGAGGGGGGGGTTCGACCCCCCCACCCCAACCCCCCCGTACTTCTCCTCTCTCCCTCTCCTCGGCTGGCGGCGGCGGCGGGGACGACGGTTTCCTTTTCTGGGCCGGCGCCGGCGCCTGCGGCGGCGGGCGGCGGCGGCGGGGAGCGTCGACGAGGACGACGGTGGTGGTGGTGGGTTGTGGTGGTGGTGGTGGCGGTAGTGGTGGTGGTTGTTTGTGGGCGTTGTGGTGGTGGTGGTGTGGTGGTTTGTTGTGGTGGTGGTGGTTGTGGTGGTGGGTGGTGGTGGTGTGGTGGTGGTGTGGTGGTGGTTTGTGGTGGTGGTGGGTTGTGGTGGTGGTGGTGGTGGTTTAGTGGTGGTTGTGGTGGCTGTGGTGGTGGTGGTGGCTGTGGTGGTGGTGGTTGTGGTGGTGGGTGGTGGTGGTGGTGTGGTGGTGGTGTGGTGGTGGTTTGTGGTGGTGGGTTGTGGTGGTGGTGGTGGTTTAGTGGTGGTTGTGGTGGCTGTGGTGGTGGTGGTGGCTGTGGTGGTGGTGGTTGTGTGGTGGGTTGGTTTGGTGGTGGTAGTGGTGGGTTGAGGCGGTGGTGGTGGTGGTAGTGGTGGTGGTTGTGGTGGTAGAGGTGGCTCTCGTCGCTACGTCCCCGCCGTCGCCGGCGCCAGCGCCGGCGCTGCTGGCTGCCGCCAGCGCCGAACCCCCCCCTCCTTGGCGCCAGGGGGGGGGGCATCGTCGCTGCGTCCTCGCCGTCGGCGCTGATGGCGGCCGCCGGCGCCGGCGCCGGGGGGAGGGGGGGGGGGGTTGGGGGAGAGGGGAGCCCCCCTGGTTTTGATCGACGGCGCCGAGTGTTGGGGGGGGGCCCACCCCCGGTTCGAAACGCGCCGCCGAATGTTCCCAAGGCAAGCGCCCGTGAAACGCGTTCTCTCATTCATACATACAATCATACAGAAAGACAGACAGACAGACAGAAAGACATACGTACGTACATATATACATACAAACAGACACACACACATCAGCACATACAAACATACATGCATGCATACGTACAAACATACATACACGCACATACATGAATACGTGCGTCCATACGTACGTACGTGCATACATGCATACGCAAAAACATCAATACATACAGGCATACCTACACACATACTTACGGACTCACATACAGAAATACAAGCCACACACATACATACATACACACACATACCATGCATCTATATGTATCTGTATTTACCCATATAAGTATGTCGCCGATCAACCCATCATGCGGCCAAACACGGCAAACGAACAACAACACCACAAACTCGAGGCCCGCTTCTCTCCTGGCGACCGAGAGGCGTGCAGCACCGCCCACCCCTGGACCGCTGCGGCCTCGCCCAGGCTGCGCGGCCATCTGCAGAGCGCGCCCGCGCCGCGCGCGCCCGTGGCCGCAGCCGCGAGCGCCCGTGGCCGTGGCACACACGGCGCCAGAGGTGCCGAGGCCCAGCCGTGCAGACTGCGGGCGGCGGTGGGCTGCGGCCCCCGCTCGGCCAGCAGCCGAAGCGCGCTGCAGTCGGGGACTTTTGCATGGCGCGTCGCGGCGGCGGCCCCTGCGACACACCATGCCCTGCAGATGGAGAGCGTGTCGCTCCGCTCCGCGGGGCGGGTGGCTGGGACGGGCTCGAGACGCTGACGCTTGGGGACCGGGACGTGGATAGCGTGTCGCGCCGTAGCGTGGTGGGCCAGAACCGGCGGGGCGACACGCTAAGCCAGATTTCCTGACCTCAGGGTTCCCTTCTGAGCCCGTTCGGCGTCCGAGCCCACTCGGCCACCGAATGGACTCATGGTCGGGCCCATGCGGCAGTCGAGCGAGCTCAATTCTCTCGACCCTATCGGAGCTGAGCACGTTCGGCGGCCCAGTCGGCGGCCGCACGGGCTCCGACGCCGAACGGGCTCCGAAGGGAACCGTGGGGTAAGGCCTCCCCCTACAGGCGACGGCCACTCGCGCGAGGGGGCGCGCAGCCCTGCGCGGCTTCGCGGCGGGGCCACCCGCCTCGGGGATGCGTCCGCAGAGGCCGCCGGCCACGGTCTGTCTTCTCCCCCCGCATTCCCGCAGGGTTCCCGCAGCTCGAGAGGCCGCTCTGCGTGGCGCCGTCACAGCTCGTCGTCTGCCTCTGTGATCCAGTCGTCGAGGGAGTTCCCGCGGACGCTCCACGGATGCTCCACGGACGCCCCTACGGGCGCCGGCTCCACGGACGCTCCAGCCGAGGTGCCAGAGCTGGCATCGGCTGCACCACTGCCATCGCCAGGTAGTCTCCTGCTGGGAGAGCTCCAGGAGGGCGAGGCAGAGCGGGTTTCCCATTCGCCTCCCCTCCCCCCCCAGTCCGTCCCCTGGAGGCGAGTTTTAAGGGTGCTTGACTCCACGTTGGAGCCCCCCGTTCCTGCCTTTGGTGACAAAACAGCCATGCAGCTGGCCAGCGGTCCTGTTGTCACTGCCAGCGCTGCATGGGAGAGGACTGACAGGCGTGGGTCGGGTGCCAACGACGACCTGCTGGGGCTCGTCGTCGTCCTCGTCGAAGAAGTCGTCGAGGCTGCCGCCGTCGGACTCCAGACCTGGGGGAACAAAGGGCACCGGTACCGCTACTCCCCAGACCTCTCCCAGGAAATCCCGAGGCGAATTCCAGCCCGTGACGACCAGGCCCCCCTCCAGGAAACCCGACAAGGCGAGGGCGAGGCCAGTATCGGTGTGCTTTCTCCTCCAGGGACCTCCGGGCGAGGCGGGCCCACGTGGCTCCGCCTCTAGAGGCCTGCCAGATGGGGTCGGAGTAGATGGGGTCGGAGGATCTCGCCGCATCGGCGACGCCAGCGGTGGAGAAAACCGGGCTCTACATCGAGCCGAATCGCCGATGCGATGCAGTGGCAATGCGGCGCGATCCTTCGACCCCATCTGCTCGGACCCCATCTGGAAGGCCTAGAGCCTCCGCTGCCACCGCGGAGCTGGGCGCAGCCCGGGCGGCTGACGCGGAGATGGGCTGCGGCGCGGAGCTGGGCGGTGGGCCGCCGCCGACACCGCGGCGGCCGCCCGGGCCGCGCCTAGCGGCGAGCTCCGGGAGCTGGCTTCTCTGCGCCAGCCCAGAGCGCTTCGCCTCGTCCAGCCTCACGGGGGGGGCGGGCTCCTCCTCCTCCTCCTCCTCCTCCTCCTCCTCCTCATACTGCTTCTTTTCTTCCTCCTCCTCCTCCTCCTCCTCCTCCTCCTCCTCCATTCCTTTTCCTTATGAATAACTTTTCCCTGTCGCACCCCGAGGCAAGTTTTTGGGGCGGGCCGGGCGTTTCGCCTGAGACGTCTTCACCATTTATGACTCTGAAGCTTAACAAGTGACAACAGCTTCACAGATGGAGGCCGGGTGGTTTTCAAAATGTGGCTCTCGCCTTGGCGCCGAGCACATTCGTTTTAAACTTTTAAGCAATTGATAAGTATCACAAATGGAGGGCGGGTGGTTTTCGAAATGTGGCTCTCGCCTGAACGCCGCGCACACTCGTTTTAAACATTGGAACAGCATCACAGATGGAGGCGGGTGGTTTTCAAAATGTTGCTCTCGCTTTAGCGCCGCGCACATTCGTTTTAAACATTGGAACAGTATCACAGATGGAGGGCGGGTGGTTTTCAACATGTTGCTCTCTCCTTAGCGCCGCGTCCATGCGATCTAAAACATTGCAAGAATTTCGCGGATTGAGGGCGGCTCCTTTTCAACAGGTGGCTCTCGCCTTAGCGCCGAGCACATCCGATCATACAATTGGGAAGAGTTTCACGGATTCTCATGATCAGCGTACCAGAAATCGTGTTTTGGAAGAATTCAGGATTATGCGGGTGCAACTGTTATCTTAAATTGCGGTGTTGAAGTGCCCAGAATGGCGTTCTGTGGTGCGATTCCGGATCGTCAAGACGCAGCAATCAAGTTGACCCGTGGCGTTGAAATCCCGAGAACAATGCTTTGGTATGCTTCAGGGTCTTCAAGGGTGTCTTCCAACCAAGCAATTCCCTCAATGGAAATGAACCGTTGTAGGGACATGAAGAGGGTACTTGGAGGGAGGGTTAATTTTAACATAGTCGATGATTCTTTGGTTTGCACTGGTCCTCCTCCTCCTCCTCCTCCTCCTCCTCCTCCCCGTCCCCCTCCCTGGGAGCGGCCCTCTGAGACGGCGGGGGGGCTGCCTGGGAGGGTCCACAGGGTGAAAGAAGGCGTCCTGGAAGGCGAGACGGAGGCCTCTGAGAGGCCCCCTGCCTTCGGAGGGCCGGCCCCAAGTCTTGGGCCTCAGACTGGACCCTTGGGCCCCCGAGCTACACCAACAACGGCTTCAGCCTGACACAGCCTCATAAATCGACCTCTCGCGCGGGACTTCCTCAATGTTGATGAATCGCGCTCTCGCGCGGGACTTCCTCGCAATTGATTGAGACGCCGCGCCTTCGTCACTCAGGAGTGCCGCTCTCGCTGTGGACTTCCTGACGATTTACTTGGGAACCGCGCTATCGCTCGAGACCTCCTCGCGGGTCATTTTGGACTGACGCTTCAACGACCCGCCCGCTCGACCGGGCCATCTGGGCCCACGAGTTACAACAACAACGGCTCTCGCCTGATACTCTTCCACTCAATGTATTCCCAAATCGCGCTCTCGCGCGGGACTTCCTGACAATGTATGCAAAAATCGCGCTCGCGCGTGGGAGTTCCTGGCAATTTATTCAAACGCCGCGCCCTCGACACTTAGGAGTCACGTTCTCGCTGCGTATCTCCTCACGATTCATGTGGGAATCGAGCTGTCGCTCGAGACGTCCTTGCGATTCATGCAGGACGCACGCTTGAGCAACCCGCCTGCTCGACCTGGCCGCCTGGGCCCACCTTCCCGGCCCGCTGGCCCGCCTCCATCCTCCTCTCTCCCCCTTGTCCCTTCCTTCCGTCCGTCTTCTCTTCGCCCTGCCTCAGGGCTGCACGAAACACACGTTGCAGGCAAGAAAGATTTAGCCCCCAAGTGGGTACGGTCGAAGACGAAGAGGGCGGGTATCAAGGGTTCGGGATATATGTGTTGAGTGGCACGCGAGCAGATAAGAGCGAACAATCTTAAACTGATTGCTGTTGTCGTTGTTGTCGTTGTTGAATTCTCATTTCTGAATAATAATTATTCTTGATCCCCCCCACCGGTGCATACTGTTGTTCTCAATCAAAGTGTGTCACTCGACGCTCGCACCTTGTTTTTTGACAGGGAAAGTCTTCCTGCTCAAACTGGCCCCCTGGCCCCCGGGTTACAACAACAACGGCTCCCGCCTGAGACTTCCTGGCAATTTAAGCAGGACCCCCGCTCCCGCCCGAGACGTCCTCGCATTTTATTCAGGAATCGCGCTCTCGCTTGGGACTTCCTTACAATTTATTCAGGAATCGCTCTCCTAGAGCTCTGGAGTCGCGCTTTTGCTGGAGACTTGCTTGCAACCTACTGAAGAATAGCCTTGCGTTGGAATTTCATACAATTTGCCCAAGCGCCGCGCTCCCGACACCCATGCACCCAGGAGTCGCGCCCGTTGTAGTCCCATGTGCATGCCCTTCGTGGCCCCGCTGTCGCCATTTGTGTCCCCCTCATTGTCCTACGTGGCCCACCTGCTACCCTCAGTGGCCCCATAGTTGCCTTCTGTGGCCCCGCACTATCTGCACTTCGTGGCCCCCGTTCGTTCGCGCTCTTCGTGGCCCCATACGCATTCCCTTCGTGTCCCCGCTGTCGCCCTTCGTGGCCTACTTCGTGCCCTTCGTGGCCCTGCTGTCGTTCTCTCTTGCTCTCGCTTTCGCTCGTCGTCGCCGTCGTCGTCGTCGTCGTCTTCGACGTCGTCGTCGTCGTCGTCGTCGTCATCGTGGTCGGTCCCCTGTCCGTCCCTCTTGGGGTCGGGTCGACGGTCCGCGGCCGCCCCGCCGATCAGCGCTGCCGCTGGCCAGGCCGACGGTCTGCGGCCGCCCCGCCGCTTGCCGGGGCCCGGCCTGCAGGGAAGAAAAGTATACCCCCCAAAAGGGGTTCGATCGAAGACGAAGAGGGCGGGTATCGAGGGTTTTGGAAATACGCGTTATTGGACACTCGAGCATATAAGGGCGAGCAGTCTTAAAATGATTGTTGTTGTTGTTGTTGTTGCTGTTGTTGTTGTTGTTGTTGAGCTTTCATTTCTGAAGAATAATCATTGCTCGCCCGCCCGTCGTGGGCTCCCGCCCGAGACTTCCTTCAGGAACGGCGCTTTCGCCTAGGACTTCCTCGAACGTTCACGCTCTTACCTTCCTGCTCCTCCTCCCTCCTCCCTCCTCTCCTCCCTTCTCTCTCCCTGCTCTCTTCCCTCATCCTTATGCCTCTCTGCCCTATCCCCTCTCCCCCTCCCTTCTCCCTCCCCTCTCCTGCCTCCTCCCTTCCTCTTTCGTTCTCTCTCTCTCTCTCTCTTTTTCCCCTCCTCTCTCTCTCTCTCCCCTCTCTCAGTCTCTCTCTCTCTCTCTCTCTGTCTACCTCTCTTATCTGTCTTTCTCTCTCTCTCTGCCTCTAATCAACCACCCCCCTCTTCGCTCCTTCTCTCCTGGCGTTTTCCCTCTTCCTTCGTCCCTCCCCTTCCCTTCCTCCCACTCTCCCTCGTTCTCCCCCTCCTCTTTTTGCAGGGCCCACACCAATTCCAATGGCGGGCGCATGTACGCCCACGAAGGATTGTCCGCCCAAGCAAGTTTGCCCGCCTGTCTAAGCCCGCCGCCCCCCCGCAAAGAGAATTAATCCCCTCAAAAGGGGTGTGGTCGAAGACAAAAAAACGGGTATCGAGGGTGTGGGGAACTCGTTTTGAATGACACACGGGCAAGGAAGAGCGACCAGTCTTAGAATGTTTGTTGCTGTTGTTGTTGCTGTTGTTGTTCTTGTTGGGCTCTCACTGCGGAAGAATACTCATTGTTGATCTCCCTCCTCCAGTGACCATGGTGTTTTTCAATGTGAAGTGGTTCCTCCGGGGCCCGTGTTTTCTATCATGGAAAATCACTCGGCTGAAAAAATCACTCGGCTGAAACTTCGCCCCTGGCCCCCGAACTACAACAACAGCGGCTCCCGCCTGATACTTCCACACAAAGTATTCCCAAATCGCGCTCTCGCACGGGACTTCAACTTATTAAGGAATCGCGCTGTCGCGTGGAACTTCTTCACAATTTATTCAAACGCCGCGCCCTCGACATTCAGGAGTCATGCTCTCGCTGTGGATTCCCTCACGATTCATGTGGGAATCGAGCTGTTGCTCGAGACTTCCTCGCGACCCATGCAAGACGCACGCTTGAGCAACCCGCCTGCTCGACATGGCCGCCTGGGCCCTCTTTCCCGACCCGCCTGGTAGGGTCTACCCGCCCGATCAGCCCGTCTGGTTTTGCCGCGTGCTTTCTGCAATTAGCCCATGCTCCATTCTGCTCCCTTCCACTTGTCCTTCCATCCGTCCTCTCTTCGCCTGCCTCAGGGGCTGCGCAAAATACACGTGGCAGATAAGAAAGATATCCCCCCAGGGGGTACGGTCGAGGACGAAGAGGGCGGGTATCGAGGGTTCGGGATATACATCTTGAGTGGCACGCGAGCAGATAAGAGCTAAACTTCTTAATATTGTTGTTGTAGTTGTAGTTGCAGTTGTTGTTGATGTTGTTGTTGTTGTTGTTGTTGTATTTTGTTGCTGTGCGTGCCACCGACGGCCTCCGGTGGATCTGGGCGTCGCTCAGCGAGTCGGGGGCCTCTTCCTCGTCGTCGCTGTCGAGGCCGGTGGACAACAGATGGGCGCGCTCCTCGTGGGGGTCCCGAAATGGTGCTGTGACAGACCGTGTGGTCACCTGGGGATCTCAAAGACCTCACCGCACGGTCCGTCGCCGCACGGTTTGTTGCCCGAGACCAACCCAAATCCCGAAACTGTGCGGTCACCCCGGAACCCCACTGACTCAGCACGCTGGCCCTCCTCCGCCTGTCTGGTTTCCGGGTCGGAGCTCGGGTCTCTGGCGGCCGTTCGGACCGATCCAGGCACCCCCAGAACGCCCTTGACGAGGCCCAGCTGCTGTGACGCATTCCGCGGCGGGAAAGCCTGTAAAAAACAGTGAAGACGTCCGAAAACCCATGCGGACTTGGGCTGCATCCCCCGCCCTAGCGCGCGGTCGTCCCGCACCCCGATCCTCGTCCCAGTCCTCGTCTCTCTTGTGGCCCGGGAACCTCGCGCTGAGCCTGCTCACGAGGGGCCGCGCGCAGCGGCAGCACCCCAGCAGTAGGCTCGCCGCCATGGCGCATAGCTGGCAGCTTGCGTGCGGCGTGGCGCAGGCCGCGGCCTGTGCAGTCGGTGGTCCCCTCCGCTCTGAGCCGAAAGGGCTATGATACGAACTTTGCGCATGGCCCGTTCCAGGAGGCCGGATTCCCACCCACAGATAGGAGAGTAGACGGCGCGAGCCACTGGACAGTCGGCTATCGCACTGTGGCTGTGGAAACTGGCTATGCGGTGCACGCTATGTGGTGCACGCTGCGTGGTACAATTCATGTTTGTCGGCTCCTGAATTGTCCACTCCGTTTCTCGTGCAAACATCCCACCCTCCCACCCGCAACTTGTCTGGCAGAACCCATTCGGCCACGATTGCACTTGCCGTTTGGCATTTGCTAGCGCATCTGTGCGGCCGCGTTGGCGCACGAACGCTCATGCGCAAGGCGACCAGCTGGTTTGGTACAATTGATGCGGACGCGATGGCGCCAGTCGGTGGAAACTCCCCAGCGGGTTTCAAGGCCGCGCTGGCGCTCGGGCACCTCAGTGCGGGTCGGTGACTAGGGCGGGCGCGGTTGCGGGTCGGTGATTCGGGGCGGGCGCGATATCATGATGACGCCGGAAACGGCGGCAAGGATGATGATAATAACGATGGTTGTGGCGATAATGACGGTGACGATGGTAAGGCTAATGACGGCGCCGATGCTGGTGAGGAAGATGACGATGATGATATCCATGTGTCGGGGATGAGGGTGATTATGCTTATGATGCGGCATTCGCGGCGACTGGCGATGACGATGACGGCGGTGATTTGCTTGCGCAGATGAGGGAGATGGAGAGGAAGTGCGCGCTCGCAGAAATGCACTGTCTCTGTCAAGTTTACTTGATCAAACACTCGGTTTCTCATACGTTATTGAAAAGATCAATCCCGAGCTGCTTCGAGAACCAATTGTTTTGAATGGGGTTCGACATGCGCGCGTGGCGGCGCGCGTGTGGCCCGCAATATCTACTTTGATACGGGTTCGCGCGCTGGGCGCATGTTAGATCAACGCAGATGCGCCGCGAAGTGCGGTGATCATGCGGGTTATGGACGATATTGTTTCAATCATATGGCTTTCCTGTGACCTCAGCAAGTGCGCAGGGGCAGTACGTATGAATAACTTTGCTGACAGGCAACTGGCTGTTATATGTCTTTATTTCGAAGCGCTTGCACAAGCGTTTGGTATGGGTGCAGTATACGTGATGCAAGCTAGAGGCGGCCACGACGCGGCAACGAGGCGAAACTTTCGCGGACCCACCCAGCGCACGAGGCGGCCCCGAGGCGGTCACGGGCGGAAGCATGGCGAAACCTCGGCGGACCCACCTACCGCACGAGGCGGCCACGAGGAGGTCACGGGCGGCAATGTGGAACAACTCCGTCGTACCCCTCCAATGCACGAGGTGGCGCGAGGCGGCCATGAGTAGTAATGTGGAAAATCCTCGTCGGACCCATCAAACTCCTTCGTGGCATTAGTAAGAACCCTCAAGTAATCCCACCAGCCCTGTAGGGCGTGAGTGGTCCGAGAAACTCGTTCTGCCAACCCCTTTCTTCCTCTTCGGGGAGGTGATTCTCACTCCCGCTACCCCCTCCTCCTGGGTCTGGAGGGGGCATCCACCGAGGTGTTAGAGGATCCGTCTTTGAACCAAGATGGCTCCAATAAGGCTCCACAATACCCAAGATGGCCCCCAAGATTGCTCAACGTACACCAAGATGGTTCAATATAGCACCCAACATGCCTCCAAGAGCCCTCAAGACTGCCCCAGGACGGCTCCGAGTGCCTTCCTAGCCTCTCAAGGAGACCGCCAATGGACCAACACCCTGAAAAACTGATGTGATTTTCAAGGTTGTTTGCCCTTTCGCCTTTTCGCTACCAGGGGGCTCTTGAGGCCGCAAGATTGCTCCACGATGGCCAAAGAAAACCCCAAGAAGGGCCCGGGAAGGCCCTAAGAGCGAGGACGGGGGAGGAGCACCCCATGTGGACGTCTGCTGAAACCCTGGGCCCCAAAAGCTGTCGCCTCGCTTTCACTTCCGCCGCCCTCTGCCGACCTTCCGCGTTGGCCCTGCCGGCAGAGCCGGCGCCGTCTTCCGCGGAGGCCGAGAGACGCCGGGGGCGAAACCCTTTATTGCCAGGTGGGGACTTGTCCATAACCGCCGCCTGGAGGTCGATCCTCAGGGACCGCGGCAGGTGGCGCATAGAATTACATGTGCTCCCCCTCCGAGCCCGAATGTTTCCGTATCCGCCACCTGCCGACGTGCCCCGGCATCGACCCCCCTTGCGGTGGTTATTGGTGAATCCTCGCCTCGGAGTTTACGCAGCGACCTACTCAAGTGCACTCCCTGTCAACTGCTCGACGCTCTCTAAGTCGTCGAACCTCCCTCGAAATCCGTTTCCCGTCCTCGACCGAAGCGTCCTCGACGCCGTCCCCAATCACGCTCTGCGGGCGGGGAAAGGCGATGGTGACCTTTTGGTCTGCCGAGAGGCCTCTCGGACTAAGATAGCAATGGTGCTTGCTGTCTTGTCCTGCTGCTATGCACTGCTTGCTGTGCACATGCTCTGTCATGCGTGCTGGGGGGGGGGGGGGGGGTAGTGTCTAGTGTCTAACGACATATTCAGACATCCTCTCAAACACATTGGCAGCTGCATTGTATGGAGTACAATTCACACTGGTGAAAAAGGGAACGCAATTGATAAAACACTCACCTTTATCTCGAAAGGGAAATCCTGCACAGCTGCTTGTGATTGCATTGCCTGCTATTAAAGCGTGCTCGAGACAGATGCGCCGGTCAATCGTCGCAATCAACCTCTCCAAACTAATAGCTTCATTGCGAGGGGGGGAGGGAGAGACAACTTCGAGACTGGAACAAGATGCAAAACGTGTTTTGCCGGGGCTCACTCACTTTGGCCCTTGAGGCCTGCGCTGGCTTCTGCTAGTTCTCTCGTTGCTTCCCAACCTCGGGCGAAACCCTGCGTGACATGAACATACCGTCCGCGAACTCCATCAGCTTGGCCCACAGATGAGTAGTGTACGGGCCCTTGAATCCAACGTTCCACTTCATGCTGCTGATCTTCACCTTCTGCTCACGCTTGTGTTTCGTCTTCTCTTCTGTCTGCTCAGGCTCTGGCTCTGGATGGTGAGAACTGGTCGCCGTCTCGGACCACTTGTCGTGGGTCCTATAGCACGCCATGAGGATGCCCACGATCATCAGGATGGTCGTCAACACTGCCTTGATGAACGTGAAGAGGGGGATCTTGATCACCACCTGAGGGGTCATGGTCCACTCGAGATCCATCACTGCCGTCGCCTTTGCGTCGTAGATCTCCACCTCGCTGCTGGCTGCCGTCGTCAGGGGTGCCATGGTCGCCATCGCCGTCATTGTACTTGCCTTCGGTCTTGGCGTGGCGAACCTCTTGGCCTCCTCCTGTCGGTCCTTGCCGGTCCGCCTGGAACTTCTCGTCGAACTTCAGGCTGATCGTTCCAGTGCGCAGCCTGTCTGCCAGCAGTTGTCGCGCCGACAGCCTGGTGATTCCGTCCGCGAACTGGCGCTCCGAACTGACCCAGTACCAGCCCGTAGCGCTTGCCGTCGTACGCTCCTTCAGCACCTGCACCTCGATTCCCGTCCGCTTGTCGTCGAAGTTGTGCACGTGTGGCTTCTGGGCCGCGTCGTACAGCGCCTTGGCGTCCACCCCCAATGCGTTCCTTCCCAGCACCGTCATGGTGCCGTTGAGCCTCGGGTCCCTCGTCGGGTCGAGCATCAGGCTGTAGTGCACCTTCACATACTCGAGTGCGTCCACTCCTCCTGCTGCAGCTTGGGCCTCACTCGCCAATGAGGACCTTCTCACCCTTGGTAGCTTCCACGAGCGCCAATCGACCACGGTGTACTTGACCGTCTCGCCGTTCAGCACACCCCTATGCGCCGCCAGGATGAGGTAGCCTCCCTGCGAGCTTCCATCTCGTCGTACTGCCCATGCCGCGTCCGTCATACAAATAAACGCCACTTCGTTGGGGTCATCGCATATCTTGGGGAACGCCTGGCACACGTCGCTGTTGGCCTCGGCGAACCTCAGCGTCTTGTTGGCCCCCGCGAAGTCCTGCGCGGTGGAGCCCTCGTTGATCGATCCTTGTCCGAGACTCACGCTGCACTGCAAGTGAGGCGCCGCCTGGTTGCTTGGCCACGCCAAGCTGCCCATAAGTCCTCGTAGCTGCCGTCGCCCGCCCTCCGTGATGGCCAACTTGTGGTCGCTGGCCCTGCTCTTGGTCATCGTGATCGGCTTGAGTGCCTTGATGTAGGCCTCGCAGCTCATCTGATAATCTCCGTTTGTCGTCTTGGTGAGCTGGTTGCCACAGAAGTCCATGGACGAGTCGCCTGCCACGTTCAAGGTGCCAGTCTCAGTGTCCTCCCACGTCCAGAAGTTGAAAACCTTCTTGAGCTCTTGGACGCGCGCCGAAAAACACGCCTGGCCCTCCTGATCGCTGCCGCCTCCTAGCATTTCGTCCACGTGTAGTCCGATAGCGCCGTCGAACACCTTCACGTTCGTCTCGCCCAGCCGGTAGCTCAGGAACAGGCAGGGGTCTAGAGGGTGAACCACGAAGCCGCGCCCGATCATGCGGTCTGTGGCCTCCTCCCACCAGAGCCTCGGCGCGTCGCTCAGGCCGTGCATGCTCTTGAGCAACTTCATCCTCGGCCCAGGCTGGTACCCGAGCATCTTGCAGGCCTCGGATGGCAAGAGTACAGAGATGCCACGATCCGAGCGCTTGCCCTGCAGGAATGCGGTGCTCACGTCCGCCGTGAACAGGATCCAACCATGGACGCGACTCAGGAGCACGATGAACGTCCTGCTCAATCTCGTCATAGTAGGTGAAGACTTGGCCATGGTCCCCGCGATGGCGTCTGGATCGCGAAACCCTTGGATCACCAGCCGCGCCGTGGCTCGGTGGCTCCCGTCAGCGTTCCTCGACCGCTTCAGCAGAAACCGAGCACGCAAGACCTTC